GAGAATTTAGTATTGGATCAACTAATTATCCCCAAATTTATATTTTTCTTTATTTTCATCACTAATCTGGTTGATATTATATTGGTATTGTTAGGAGAAATTCTGTCTTGGTCACTAATGGGAGTTAAAGGCTTAAAAACATCGAAAGGGTAAGGAGTGATCACTTTCCAAAAGAAAAAATTGCTGCATCCCGTTCGGGTATATGCCGGGATATTCCACACGAATCAATGGGATCTCGTTCGGGACTGCGCCGGGATTTTCCGCACTTGCTAAACGGGATCCATTCGGGGCAACGCCGGGGCCAAGCCGGGGATATTTCACCTTAACTTTCGGGGATCCCGCTCGGGACACACCAGGATATTCTATATCCAATCCCTCCAGGTTCCCAACCAGACCAAGTTATTACGTTCAAAACACTTTCCACAAATATAAATGAAACATTCTCTACACAGATTTTATGAATATCAATCATACATTAACCTCTTTACATGCAAGGTTCTTAGGATGTTTTGACGTTAAATCGCTGGGATCAATAACACTGGCTGGTATTAAGAAGAATGTTGTCATAAAAATGTCTTTTTTCTACTACAGTTGACCAGGGCTTACATATCGGTATTGGACTAAGATCTTGCGGTTTTCCCGAATCAGATGTAGCGGTCTCATGATCTTCGTTACATTGTGGTTTACAAATAATGTTAAAAACCAAAAATTGGCCGCATGAAATTTTGTCTAGTCTTACGACGGATAATGATTTTCATGATTCCGTTAAGTGTTATTTATCTTTCGTCTCCAAGAATCGATCATATTTGCATATTTGCATACAGGGAGAAGAAATGTCACTTTTAGAATGTAAGCGTTTGTTTAGATGAACAGTGTAAAATCACCGCGGTTTGTCAAAAGATTTCATTCACGCTGTAATTGTAGGGAAAGTGCCTCATATTTTAACGGAAATTTATTAACGGCTTTTATTTTTTCTCAAAGAAAGATCTCCTTTTTTAAAGCGATTTGACATAATTCAACTTTGTTTTCATCACGGCTCAATTACTTTACAATGTTTAGCAATTTAAGTAAAGGAGTTTTGCATTAACTTTTCTATGCAAAATTTCCTTTTCTGAAAAATGGATCTCCAACAATCATTTCACGTTCATCTGTTTCCGAAATCGACAAGGATGTTTAACTCAGCGTGTTTTTCAATGTTTGAAATTTTTTTTTCTTATTTATTCATTTATCCCAATTTTTTTTCTTCATGGCCTGGAAATTTCCTTGACGTCAAAACATAAAGGATGTGAATTGTCTACCAACGTGAACATTAATTAATTAATACGATTTTCTTTGCACAAATCGACAGGGATCTTGGAGAGAGTATGAATCCATTTTTTAGAACGAAAACATAACAAAGGAAACCCATTAAAATTATTAACAGACAAGCGCTATGGCAGTTAAAGGCATTTGTTATGCCGCATGACATTTTGCAACGAAATGAAAATCCGCGTCGCTTTCGATTTTTTTTTTACTTTTGTTAACACTAAATGAATCTTAGTTAGCCATGAAATAATCATACTCGCGATAAAAGGCAAGGCATCGCTAATTTATAAGTGGCGATTCGATATCAAGGTCTGGCTTGTGTGATTGGCTTTTGTCGGAGTGAGAAAAAAAACAAAAATCTTTTTAAAATTCTGATCAGAATTGTCACAGGTCGCGCGCATGTGTGAATTCAGTTCTTACTTCGTTCGAAGGCCGGAAAAGAACACGAACGCTTCTCCGAGTTTAGAAGAGTATTATGAAGCAAGGTTGAATTTCTATGTGTTATTATGGCAAGATCCAGCCGAGCCTCTCCCATGTCTCCAGAAGTCTCAATATCAAGTCGGAAATCGAGGAATATTGGCAGGGATCTCGACGGGTCTTGCAATGAGGTAAAAAAAAAAAAGGTTAACTGTAAATTGTGTAAAATTGAGACAGAGAAAGAACAGGGCGTAGCTTGGCTTTGGTCAGAGGAAATTCGCAGCGCTTGCTGGTTCATTTCAAACGAATTTAGTTGATTGTGTTTGTAGTCTTTGTAAACAAATTCTTCATTTGTCGTAATCACAAACTTCCAAACGCTTTTATGATACCTAAACATTGACGGATACCCGAAGAAATATGGCCGCAAAGGAAGAAAAAGGATTTGTATTTGCTCGTCCAGAAGACTGTGGACAAAAAACAAGATCACGTGCATGTAGCCTCTTGTGGATGTCCTCAAGGACGAAGACCTTGTCGCGAACGATATCAGTGTCAAAGTTTGAAAGCCACGTAGACGAAACATCGAATGTGATATGGCGTTCTTTTAACATTCTTTTAGACTTGTCTGGTCGGGGGCACATCCTACGCAGCTTTTCATGTACGTGGGCTTATCGAATTCCATATTTTTCTCATAACAGAAAGATTCTGTTCCGAGTGCAGCTTTTTATTGTAATTTTTTTTTTTAGCCCGAGGGCTTGTTTTGAGAGCATTCGTAATGAAAGAGTCCTGTTTTGCGCTGCATATTACAACAGGCTATTTGATAAATGCCGAGCGAACTTAATGTTTTGTAAACCCAGTAGATCACAAAAACATATCGCTCTCTGATTACGATTCTCAAACCGATAGCACAGATAAAACATTGTCTTTAGAAATCGGATAAGGAAACGTTGTGAATTTTTTTTCTGTTTTTAAATGTATCGACTGAGGTTCGAACGCGGCCCCAAGATATCTTTAATGAAATTGTTTTCGTTGTAAGTTTAGATCGACTAAAAGAAAAAAAAAAAGATGAGAATGAGATTTTCAAGCCGAAAGAAATTTTGATGGAAACTGTTTCTTACCAAATAAGACATTTCTCTTATTGATTTTATTATTCCTTTGGGGAAAAACGGAAATAAGATATAAACGTATGGCGCGCCATTGTATGCTGAAGAGACCCGAGCGATTAAAGCGCTTTTATCAAAAATACCAACCAATCATAACGAGACACTACTCTTGTTCTCTGTTTCCAGCTGTCACTCTTACGACGTCGCTTAAATATTTCACCGGATGACACTAACATGAATTATTCAGAGAATTCTCGCGAAAATACAACCGTAAAGGAGGAAAAGTCAGTCGTGGTTTGGTATTTTTAGTATCCAATGAAATGAATATCACCTCTTTGCAGAAAGCGCGTCAAATGTCATCGCTCGTGCGATTACATTTTAGCTTTTGATATTCGAAACACATATCTTATTGTTTTGTCATTTTTGAAGAATATCCGATAACGAACCATCAGGGCGCGCATCGAACAAAGGATCATAGGCGGGCGGTCGCTGTTTGCGGTGAGCAATTCAAATTCATTGCAAAAAAATGTCTTTTTTGACATTATAAAGAATCCTTCTGATGGCAACAGCGAATTAGAGTGTGTGCATTCGAGAATTCTATTGGCCGAGAAAGTGCGCATAATGACTTAAAGATCTTTGTGGGTTTTGTTAGTTTAGCCGATGTTTGGTGGATAGAACAAATACTGAAGTACAGTGACATGTCGCCCTTACAACTGACGTTGACATTATCAGGCTTAATTTTTGTATTTGTATGTGCTTCTAATGTCACGTACAGGTCACGGAAGGCGAAAATCTCACCACTGATGATTTAGATGATTCTGAGTCCGGGGAACACGACAAGCTGAACGGTATTATGAGCGACACTGCTAAGCGTTTTTCTTCGCTTCTGACCGTCATTTGCCGAACAGCAAAAAGATCTGCGAACAAAATGGCGAAAATACGGAAGAAAAAGAATGGAGGCGCGGAAGAAATCAGCAACTTGCCAACAAAAGCTGATGTCGTAGGGAGTCCTTGTCGAGTGACGCGTGCACCTCAGAAATCTGCTTCAAACGACGAAGACAAGGGTACAATCATTCTACAAGTGCTTTTCATTTTATGTAGGGTTGAAGTCGAATATGAAAGTGAGATTTTAACAAGAGTTTTATTATTTACAGTGGAGCAGCAGTTCAACGAGACATATGAATTGCACCATCTCCTCGGCCAAGGGGGATTTGCTGTTGTTTATTCCGGAACAAGGGTTCGAGATGGCTTGGCAGTAAGTGATCTCTTTTCCTGTCACTGATTCACAACTAATTCATGACTTGGAGAGAAGGACGATGGATAAGCTATCGAATCTAAGATAGGAAATGGTGAAATGGTCTTAAAAAACACGAATCTCGCATGACTCGACAAAAGACAGCGTGATTCTATTCAACAAAAAGATCGTGATAGTTATTGAGTGACCCAATCATATTTCCAGATCAAAATTTTCTGATCGTGTGTTCTGATCAATTGTTCCAAGTGATGATGATCAAACGTCTTAATGTAAACCCTCGTGTCGGAGGTTTGCATGGGCATTTTTAAGAATTTGCCACTGGTTATTATTTTTTTTCGTTTTATCTTTAATCGCTGCGTTCTGCCGATCGCTGTAAGTTATTTATCCCAGCTATATCGAAACCTTGTAATGGTCACGTACATATGGAGACTGCACAGTTTTTTCATAAACCTATCTTA